ATTTTATTTTATTAGTTAAACCTATATAACTGTATGAAAATTCAAAGTAATTAATGTATGCTCTTGTTGACAAAATAAATACTGTAATTTTATTTGTGTAATATTCACAATTCAAAATTAATATATCTTATACATGTAGCAACTATGAGGTTTTTTTTCCAATTTAGTCAAGATTTTCAAATGAATCACTTAATAAAAATCCAGTAACGAATTGCTTAACTATCCAGGCAACTTTAAAATTTTTTCTATTTTTAATTTTTATAAAATGGCGAAAAGCATAATTTTCAGGGTGGTATTTAAAAAAACTTTTTAAATATAAAAAGTTTTATTAATAAAATATGACAACAGATGGCGCTACCAAATAATGCTGAGAAAGTTAAGCAACTCGTTGTTGGAATTTTTACAGATATAACTCACTATAAAATCGGATATCCCTAATACTAAAAAAAAAAAAAAAAAAAAAAAAACTGTAAATTTGTAAGATGAAAATTTCTCTACATCTAAAAACTGAGAATTAGACCATAATAATGAAACATCGGCATAGCTTATTTAAATTTCTTATCTTATTCTGTATTTGAATTTATAGATGGGTTATTTCTCATATTTTTAATCATGTAAAAAAGATTTGAATCTAGTTCTACCAATAGACCATATGAAAATTAAGAATTTTAAATTAAAAAGATTTTACAGTATCTAAACGAGGAACAGTTGAAGTTCTACTATTGAATATAATTTCCTAAAAGCCATTCATAACTGAAGATAATGTAGAAAACAGAGTATTTGAATTTAACGTTTTGTTATTTTCTTTAACTATTTACAAACATTTTTCTAGTTACAAAATCAAACCGCAAAAAACAACTAACGTGAGTGAAAGAGTGGTTTACAAGTCCCAATCACATTTTTTGAGAGCATTTTTTGTCTTTTTCGGCTTCGGAATATTTTCATCACCATTATGATGTTGCTTGAAACCATAGCAACAATTTGTCTACTGACATCAACTGTCTGAAGTTATTCGCTAAACAATTACGATGTTTTGATATTGGAAAAATTGGCATTTTTGTTCTCGGATTGTTTTTTTCCATTAACTTGCTTTTTAAAGACTCAAAATATTTTTAAATGCTAATATTGAATAATTTTTATAATCTTTTATATACGTATATTTCAAATAAAAAATCCTTTATCTAAAACAAAAGTTATCGCTCTCTTTTCTAAATATAAAGGAGTAATTTGCGAGTTTAAATTGTTTTAGTTTTTCATAAGAAAGAGGACAATGATTACGTAAAATTACAGATCTTAGAATATAAAGGATCATAAATTTCCAATAAAGAAATAATGACGATGCTAATGTGAAGATAAAACAAAGTTAATCGTCGATTTTACTTTCCCGTCTGTTATAGAATACAACATAAGGAAAGTGTGATGATCCCACCTCCTTCACCTTAACTACTAAACTTTAATAGCATTAATGTTCTATCTACAGTTTCAAAATTTTTGAATCCGTGCTATACGAAACAAAAGACTAATGCAAAACATGGGGTTAGGTTTCAAAAGTTAACAAAAGTTTACTATTCTTTTACGTTACTAAAAGAAATACGTTTATGAAAACACTCGATAATTCATTTACAATCAATAATTAATTAAAAATTACAATTAAAAGTACTGTATTATGCGTTAATATTAATTTTAGTTAAACGAGGCCGTTTTATTTTTCCTAAGTACAAAGTATCTTCATCTTCTAAGCTTTTTTTTATTGATCTTGATCAGAAATACCAGCGATATCATTTTTTTTTTCATTTTTGTCATAACTTTTTATGGATGACAAAATAAAAATATGTTATTAATCGAAAATTTGTTCTGGAGAGTCGCGTTTGTTCAGTCAAGAACCGAGGGATTTTTTTCCTCAAATTTATGTTCGAATATTGAATTGTTCCAGTTGGGAACTGTTCTAATACCGCTGTATTTCATTCGTTATTTTTACGAATGAAGTAATCATTCGTAGATAAATACTTACTGTACCTAAAAATGTTTGAATAAACTTTACTAAATACGAAGATTAATATATAAAAAAAAATACAGTGACAGTCTTAACGGCTAAAGTCTGAAAGCAACGACGATACCTGGTCGATAGAAAAGCTAGGACAAGAAAGAAAAAATTGTACTATCGGTTTTCATTAAAGTAAACCTTACGAAAGGTGCAAAAGAAATTGAAAATTTCAATATTGTAAAATCCCTGAGCAAATTTGAGACAACAGCGTGTTTACTTGAATTAAAAAAATAATCGAATAACGGAGTTTACACTTAAAACTTCTGAAATTTCATACAGAGGATTTCCAAAACCGTGTTAGAGCGAAACCGTGTTGTACGGGGGATACCTATTTATATATCAATATATAATACATTTAAATATATTTGGGAATGGATGTAAAAATGGTGTCTGAAAAATTTATTTATTTTTTCTTTCTAACTACATATCAATGTTTATTCTCTATTAGGCAACTTACTGGTAAAAGGTTTATAGTTTGTAGTTGGGACACTGTTTAAAATTCGATTTATATGAACATATCTTAGCTTTCAGTTGCCTATTCATTGTTAAGTTGCGAATCCGTCATATCGCTATATAATGGAAAAATGATTACTTACACATACGTAATATTTTTGTTTGTACCGAGTTTGTTTATAAAAAGAAATTCTATAAATATACCGGAAAGTAAAACTTATGAAAACGTTAATTAACACGTTATTGAACATAATGAACATTTACAACGATTCACGTAAAGATATATTATTTATTTTTCAGACTTATTGTATACATATTATTCAAAACGTTACACCTGCTCCGTGTATGAAAAACCTGTTTTTAAAAGAAAATACGTTAATCATGCACATTGCTGAATACAAAATATGTGTGCTAGTTCTAAGGCTAGCGGCCGGATGGCGGAGCGGTCAAGGTGGCAGCCCACCGCTCTGGGGGACCCGGGCTCAAATCCGAACGGGCCGAAAAATTCCCAGGAATCTTTCGGGGAGTGGTCCGTTCGGATATGTCGGGCCCCATCCCTCACCACCCGGCAGCCCGATTGTGGGCCTGGCCGAACCCATAATGGGCTTGCAAAAAGAGGCCCTCTTAGTGCCCACGGGGCGGAAAGAGTTAAAAAAAAGTTCTAAGGCTGGACTCATATAAATATTTCGAAAATATCAATGTAGTCTATATCTTAAGGAACTACATAAACCTACATTGAATAATTGCTACCGTCAAACCGTTAAAAATTTCATCGTTTTTTTCTTTCGATCCTCTCTTAATAAAATAAATATTGTTTTATTTACGTATCATACTCTGTATAGATTCAAACCATTGTATTTTACAGATATTTGCGAAGGTTAAAAAACCCGGCAACGAGTTGCTTAACTTTCTCGGTATCATTTAAAACTGCGCGTGTGGTGCTATCTTTTATGATATATTATTTTAAAAAACCTTTTTATATTTTTAAATATCATAAAATGGTAAAAAGCTTAATTTTGAGGGTAGAAGTGAGTTTTAAAAAAAAACTGTAAATGCTAATAATGAGTAAAATCGTCATTAAGTTAACCCTACTTTGAGAAATGGGAGTTTCAAAGAGGGTGAACAAAATAGTGTCCCACACACGCTCTAACAAAAAATAATTTTAAATCATATATTTCGAGAGGTATTAAATAAATTAACATTTATTTAAAATAATGTATTAAATATATAACATTTATAAATCATTTATACAAAAATTTCACAAACACATTGGCATAATCAGATTCTAAATTTAAAATACAGTACAGTAATATAATAAAAATAATTATTTTCATTTATTACTCAATTACAAATTACAATAGTTTGTTAGGGTTAATGATGCCATTTATAATTGTCAAATACTGTAATCGCTTACTAAATGATTAAATCAAGCAAGATTATATTTAAAATTATGTACTAATTAATATTTGTAAATTTGAAATAATTATAAATTAATTAATTATAATAATTATTTTCGTTAAGTTGTTAATTAATTAATAAATGAGATTAATATGTTATCGCAAAATCTAAATAAAAATGACAAAATTATTATTGCCTTACTGTCCTTTAGTTTCTTAATATATATTTTTTGTCAACTTGAATATTAATTATTAATAGGACAATTGTCCTATTAATAATTAATATCCAAGTAAGACAGTAAAGGTGTAAAATTGTCCTATTAGTAATTAATATCCAAGTAAGACAGTAAAGGTGTAAAATTGTCCTATTAGTAATTAATATCCAAGTAAGACAGTAAAGGTGTAAAATTGTCCTATTAGTAATTAATATCCAAGTAAGACAGTAAGACAATAATAATTACTCAATATTTTAAAAATTCAGCAGCCGATATTCTGATGATTAAGAATATGCAAGATGAGAAACTGTCAACAGGTAGCTCAATTAAGAAAGTCTGTTTTCTTTAAGAACTATTTTCTCAATTCTTGCGTAAAAACTTAAAAACCAGTATAATTGTCCTATTAATAAGTAATGTTCAAGTTGACAAAAAATATATATTAAAAAAAAAGACAAAAGTTTCAGTATATGCAAATAGATTGTATAATACAGTATTTAGCCGTATATATAATAGCATACTAAAAATAAAATAAAAATGAGAAAATGAGCAAATCGTAAACATTGCGAAATTATTTTTTTTGTAGAAATTGTTGCTTAAATTATAGCGAGTTAAAATTGAATACATCTTTACTACACAAAAAAAATAAACCGTGATAATGGCGTGTGTATTTATGTCTCATAATCAGTACTTCCTTTGACATATTCACATTATTTATATCAAATGGGATTTACACGAAAAGTTTTAACGACACTCAAATGACGCATTTTACACGTCATCTTGAACAATAGGCAATATTAAAGTAGCCTCATTTTCATGAATAGGAAACTAATGAACGGTAAACGCTATAAAAGCGTTTACTGTTCATTAGTTTCCTATTCATTTTGAATTAAATATTGGTATACATTGTTTTGGGATGTTCAGGTAAATTTTTTATTTATTTACTTTTGAAACAAAAATCATTTTCTAATTACAGATTAACTTATACTTGTCTATAATATAATTCCAATTTCGATTTTTTAAATTATTATCTCAAGAATTTTTCTACATTCTTTTAAACTGAAAATACTTGGATAAATTTTTTCTATTGTCAAGATTTACAGAGCAAACTTAAAGGAGATTCTTTATTACACAATTCTTCTCAATTAGGTATAGTCATTCCAGACAACATAGGACTATTAAGGAAAATGACCAGAACTTCTGATCGAGTAGTGACATATGTGAAAACTGTATTGCAGTAAACAGTATTAAGGCAATTTTCTTCATTGCACGTAAATACATTAACACTAAATAACAATCTCGGAAAAAAGAAATAGAAAGTTTAAGGCTCTTTCGCTCATCTTGTCCAAATGTGTGGACAAGACTGGCATACCACATCTTGTTTGCCTATCCTTGACAAAACAAGTATTGTCTGTATTGTTCGTACCAGACTTATAGTGTGATATGTGGAAAGATCAAGATACACGTATGCCTCATAAATCAAGTTACAACTACGTACTGATATTAATAATGCACTCAGCACATTTTATTGTTTTTATAATTAAAGAATAAAATAGACGACTTACTCTTTTGCTGTTTATTCCGAGTAAAATGTTCTATGCATGCGAAACAACTTATAAATTTGCTTATATGGGCGAACCTACTACAACCTGCTATATTATTTTTCAGATACATTAATAGGCCCATGTTATCGATATATCCGTATTGTACAAAATGACTCTACTTCAAAAAGAAACTTCTGCATACTCTCCTAGAAGACCGATCCTATGGAAAAATTATAAATGGAAATATTTATCCAAGTATTTTCTAATTTTTAATTAATTAAAAACAACTCATGAAAAATTTAAACATATTTCACTGTTAATACATAATTATTTCGATTCTGCAGATATTCAACTTTTGAGAAATTAAACTATTTACATTATGGAATGTTTAACTTCATTAATTGATTATAAAGTTTATAATAGGCTAAATTATTATATTTTTTATATGACTCGAACGTAGATTGTCTCTCATCTTCGTTTCTCTCTTGTAAGTTAATAATTTGTGGTATTTGTTTTCTTTTATTTGAATTTGAACTAGAAAATAAGAATTGAAATTTTGAAACATCTTCAGAATGGATCAGAGACAATATGTAATTGCCAAATATAGAATTAACGTATTGACACTCGCATGCACTCTGTTCCTGTAAACATTTTACAATTGATTCTATTGTAGAACATATTGTGTAAAATAATAGAAATTCTGTATGTAGTAATAATTTGTTAATCCGTATTAATTAAATACTGCTGAATGAGATACTGTTTAGGTACAGTATTTTGTTCATGCGATGTTAAGAATACAAGAATTTCGTTAGTTTTAATTACTTAATTGCTTGATATACTAATTGCATGATGATGAATTATCACATTTATATATTTCAACTTTCAGTTTTATAGAACTGTGTCATTATAAACTTTGTTAACAGACAAAGTTTATAATAACACAAGTCTTGACAAAATGTACTGTATTTCTCAATCTTGAACTTCTTTTCCAAGTGTACTGTACACTGTGTAAGGTTATGATATATATACACAGTATTTAGAGATTGCATTGCCGGCGATCGGTTAAATATGTATTGGTAAATTTACCAGTAATTTGATTTTTTACCAGTAAATTCGATAAAAATACAGTAGAAAGACCCGTAAAATTTTTGAAGTCAAATATTTATTTATTACACTTTTGGATATATTTATATTTTTATATATTAACTAGCTACAAGATCCCGCTTCGCTGGGTTTTTATTTGTATGTAATAGTATAGTTTTATATATATATATATATAAAAGACTGTTTTTCTAAGTAATCTAGAATCTAGCTGCAAGGACCCGCTTCGCTGGGCAAAAAGTAACGATAGTGAAGATTAAGATAATTACATTATAGCTAATCTTACCCGTTTTCACAAAATGCAAGAATTAGGTCCCCCGTTTCCAGACTAATTAGAGAATTTTTACGTTTAGTCAAACGAACAAATTTCAACGTTTCTGGAACGTTTACAATCGTTCTATAATCGAACCAATTCGAATTTTATGTTCGAATTTAATTCGAACAAATTCGAAAAAATCGAACAAAACATTCGAAATAGAAAGCCACTTTCAACCACTTTCAGCCTCATATCTCCCGCACCCTTATAGCTATCGAGACGCAACCACCCCTATGCACGAATGGAGACTTGGGGCTACCACCACATACAAACACCATTCACGTGCGATGTGTAGTTTTGTCGAAAAAGTGAGATATAGGGACATACATGTCCATTTATATATATATATATAGATGACATAGAATCGTAGAATATTTTATTTAAATTGTAAAAACAGTTAAAATCATTTATATTTTAAATTATTATTTTACAATTCTTTACAATTTTTAAAGTATCATATTAAAACACAGCGTAACACCTAGTGCTCAATAGAGATTTTAGTTGAGCAACATTTTAGTTAACAAATTGGAACACATTTACTGTAGTTAATTTGAATGTGAACAATATGAATAGTTAATTTTGAATATGAGCACTCGCACTGGTCACTTTTAAATCAAAGTAACTAAAAAAATTACAGCATGTTCTATTTTTCAAGCAACAAAATTTTCTTTTTAAAATAGAAGAAAGGGAATTTATCTGGATACAGCTCACCAGTGATTTTTCAGTTGCCAACTCACCGTTGAGTCAGCAACTATCAATACAAACAGAGTCACAAGTGCGTTAATATTCGCATTTGTAGTCAAAATTTGAAAATTACCAGTAATTTACTAGTAAACTGGTAACTGGTTTTGAAAATTTAACGTTTTGTCGGTAATAAAAATGTCGATATAATTACCCTATATATACGAGATAAAAGAATCACGAGGAATAAAAATGCAAAGAAAAGCTAAAATAGGTATACAATTTTTTTTATGTAGTCGACATGTATGAATGTATGCAACTAATGAGGACGTAGAGATTTTCGAAATCCATTTTGTAACCACGTGGATGCTTGAGAAAAGTTCAAGATTGAGAGATAAACCACGTTTTGCCCAGCCAGACTTGTATTATCATAGTCTTTGTTTATAGGACTAGAAGTTAGAATATATAAATATGATAATTCACCAACATTCATTAAAAGTAATGAATTTCTTGTATTCCTTATATCATGTGGACGAGATACTGTGTGCTATCGGAATTATATTGAATACCACGTTTAATTTTATATAAGTAAAGTAATAATTTTAATTTATTAATCAAGCTTGTAATCTGTACATGAATTTTCTTACAACGTAAAATTATATACTGTATATAAATGTATGAATTTTTAATACTGTTCTTTGTTTAAGAGATACGATAATTATAACAATACTAGCAGGTGCTTCGGAAAGCTAAATGCTTTTAATGAAAGTCACTTAGCGTGCACGGGCGAAAGCCTGGGGCCGTTCGAGCTACCAAGCACGATAATTATAACAATACTAGCAGGTGGGCCCGGCGTTGCTCGGGCAATAGTAACGATAACTAAGATAAAGATTATTACGTTACAGTCAACCTTACCCGTTTTCACAGAATGCAAGAATTGGGTCCCATCGAAACCGAAACTAACATTTTATAAAGAAGTACTATAAAGAAGTACTCGGCTCTGACCGCCAAGATGAAATATTACTAAATCAATCAAGACCGGCAAGTACAGTACTTGAGCAATCTGCCGAGGTGAAAACTTTCTATGCTGAAATTGTCCCTATTTAGGTTACAAACGTAAAAAAAACCGGAAAATTCGATGTAGCCAGCCGTTGNTCGTGACGTACCCTATCTGTGTACCAAATTTCAACTTTCAACTCCTAACCGTTTGGCTCATATCCATAATGTATATAGAAGTTTTAATCCTGTCTCTCTCCCCCCGGGGAGAATTTCGAAAAATCCCTTCTTAGTGTGCGTTTTAGTGACGTACCCTATCTGTGTACCAAATTTCAACTTTCAACTCCTAACCGTTTGGGCTCTGCACTTATTATTATTATCATTATTATTATCAACCCGTGTCGATTATATATATAGATTAAAAAACGTATTAATAAAGTTGTTTATAATTATAATTATATTACTATTATATTCATGCGAAGAAAATGTGAAACTATTTTAATTGTATTTGAAAGATTCAGATTCGATTTCAGTTCTTCTAAAAACATTTTTTAATTGCTCAATTAATTAATTAAAATAAATGATAATTATTCATCTATGTTCAGAGATAAAGCAATGTAAGTTACTTTACTTACAATAGTTTTGATCAATTATTGTAAAACCAAAGCAATTAGTGTACAGATAAATATAATAAAATTAAAATAATCTGTATTTTAAATCTGTTTTTATTGTAGATACAATTAAAAAATTTCCTAATTCTAAGAAAATTTTATTAAAAACTATTTTAACTTTTAAGGCTTTAAAAAAGGCCAAACTACTATAAAATATTTAGTAGAATATTTTATAGTAGTTTGGATTTTTCCTTTCCTGCAGAGCCGAGGATAGTAAAGGTAGAACATGAAAATCTCCTTATACCCCTTCAAATTGCACCATGAATTAAATTATATCAGATATTATAAAGTAATCAATAAAAAGTTTATATTATCGATTTATTAATAGAAATATAAAAATCGAGAGAATATAGATCATGTAGTTTATGATATTTGTAGAAATTTGCATATAAATCATAATGCTTGAAAACACGATAATTCTCTAAAGACAAATTCTTGTGGTTATATTGATAGAACTTTGTTGAAAAATCGTCTTAATCTTTACAATAAAACTTTTTAAATTCACGACATTTTGTTTAGTGATTTTCTTGAAATTTATTTCATTTTTAAAAAAATTATATAAAAAGCATATTATGTCAAAGTTTATGTAGAATTACCAGAAATTCTAACAATAATAATAGAATGAAAAACAGAGATTTTTGAACTAAAAAAAAAATAGTAATTTTTAGATTTTCCATTGTAATTTTTGGCGTCATTGTTTCAATGACGCCAAAAATTTCAGAAAAACAATATAATCACATAGTGTAATTGTGCTTTATCCTTTTATGTGTTTTTTTTTAACATAAAAATCTACTTAGTTTTTATTTTCCATTATTTGAAAATATGTGATGTTCTGTACGTTCCAACATAATTATTATAGTTTTCTTTTTATAAATTTCAAAACCTTTGTATTTACGCAATAAATTAGTTATTGTTCTAAAATTAAGGAAATATAACTACTGTATCATAAAAAAAACAATGTTAAATGTCGATAATAGCATTTTTCTCGATAATTTCATTGTCCATTATAAATATTACATCATCATTTAGTTTAATTTTTATATTGTGAACAAAATATAGTTTAATATAACACTTTAAAAATCACTTCAGCAAATGCAGTAGTTTAAAAATTAATTTATTACATATTCGATAATTGTATGTTTAAAAGGATTGGTTCACAGTAAAAGTAAGATGGTATTATATATCTAATACTATATTTCGGTATAATTATTTAATTAATAAATATTATTTATATAACATTTTGAATTAATATTTATTAACTTATCCTCTTTGTGCTCTCTGAGCGGTAAGGAACCTAAAACCACAAAAAAAGAAAAAAAAAAACTAGGACATCGCGCGACTTTATTGTATCGCGATAGAATCAATGCGAAGCAGGAAAGAAAAAAGCGATTCCTGCACCTGTTAGGCACAGAAGAGGCAATTCTTGTACAGTATTTGACGGACGCGGACCGGTGAACTT